GTCCTTGGGCCCCTGCACATGCGTAGGAGACCCAGAAGAAGCTCCTGGCTCCTGGCTTCAGATCAGCACAGCTCCAGCCATTGTGGCCAATTGGGGAGTGAACCATCGGATGGAAGACCTCGCTCACTCTCTGCCTCTCCTCTCTCTGTATAACTCTGGCTTTCAAATACTTAAATAAAAAAAAATCCGCCGGAAGTGAGAGCTGCAGGTTCAGGGGAGGTCTGGCCTAATCCTTCCTCCTCCAATCATCTCATTTCTACGTTCATTTGCTGAAAGGATTAAGGTCTGAAACAAGATTCCTATCCCTGGGCAACCATGGCACCCCTGGCAGGGCAGTCACTCGCACCCCCTCTCGGGACAGCTGTCGTCCTGCTGCCAGGCCTGAATCCGGGTCTGTGATCCGGACTGGCCCGGGCAGCCAGGTAGGGTTTCACACAATCTGCCTGAGAGTCTGAAGGGGAGGAACAATGTCTTACACGTTCCACAACTTGCACAGCTGCTGGCAGTAAGTCTTGGTGGCTAAACCAGAGTCAGCTGATGAACTCAGTACTCAATAATTCACCCAGTCTGTGCTAGGATTTTGCACACCAAGGGTCTTGCTTCCTTGTAGGGAGGCAAACTTAACAACTTCAGAGTAGGGATTCGGAGTAGCACAGTGTGAGTTCAAAGGCCAGGTTTCCCGTAGTAACTGAAGGACACTGGACAAATTACCTGGCCTCAGTGTCTGACTCCCTGTCGGTAAACCAGGAAAGATGACGGCAGCACCGTGCCCACACGGCTGTGAACGGCTGACATTCGTGGGTGCTTCTGACACAGTGGGCGCCATTCTGAGGACTCTACAAATCCTGCCTGAGCCCTCAAAGCAACCACGTGAGACAGCACCGACCGCTTCTATTCCCATTTTACAGACTGGGAAACTGAGGAAGAATGAAGTCAGTAGGTGCTGAAGCTGGAACTCAAACCCAGACAAGCATATTGCTGCTGCTACGTGCTTAGGCAGTACCACTTCCCAGGTGACGGCTGAGCAGCAACTAACAGCAAGAGCTTCTTTAACATAAGGTGAAGTCTGAAGACTTCAAAGTCAGCAGCAGGGGCCTCTCCGGCACAGCCTGGCGTCCCACCTCTGCCCAGGTGGTCATCTACAGGCAGGGCCTCTCCGGCGCAGCCTGGCGTCCCACCTCTGCCCAGGTGGTCATTTATGGGCAGGGGCCTCTCCGGCACAGCCTGGCATCCCACCTCTGCTGAGGTATTCATCTATAGACAGGGGCCTCTCCAAGGCAGACTGGCATCCCACCCTCGCTTGGAGGTGGTCTCTACGGGCAGGGGGCCTTCTCCGGGACAGCCAAGGATCCCACCTCTGCCAAGTTGGGTCATCTAATAGGGAGGGGCCTTTTCCTGGGGAAGACGGGAATTCCACCTTTGCCAATGGGGTCAATTCTACTGGCAGAGCCTTTCCGGGGGCAGCCCTGGTGTCCCCACCTTGTTCCCCGGGTGGTCATCTACGAGTCGGGGGTCTCTCCGGCCAAGTCCTGGGCGTCCCCCCCCTC